GGGAACATTCTAAGGTTACTCAGTGTTACAGGGGCACATTCTTAGGCTACTCAGTGTTACAGGGGCACATTCTTAGGCTACTCAGTGTTACAGGGGCACATTCTTAGGCTACTCAGTGTTACAGGGGCACATTCTTAGGCTACTCAGTGTTACAGGGGCACATTCTAAGCTTACTCAGTGTTACAGGGGCACATTCTTAGGCTACTCAGTGTTACAGGGGCACATTCTTAGGCTACTCAGTGTTACAGGGGCACATTCTTAGGCTACTCAGTGTTACAGGGGCACATTCTTAGGCTACTCAGTGTTACAGGGGCACATTCTTAGGCTACTCAGTGTTACAGGGGCACATTCTTAGGCTACTCAGTGTTACAGGGGCACATTCTTAGGCTACTCAGTGTTACAGGGGCACATTCTTAGGCTACTCAGTGTTACAGGGGCACATTCTTAGGCTACTCAGTGTTACAGGGGCACATTCTAAGGTTTTTCAATGTTTCAGGGGCACATTCCAAAGACTATCGATCTTAAAGGATACATTCCTAGGTTATTCGGTGTTATGCGGTCATGTCCCTCCGTTATTCACTTTTATAGGGGCACATTCTTTGATTATTCAATGTTTCAGGGACATGCCCATGGGCTACCCAGTGTCACGGCACTTTCCTTGGTTAGTCAGCGTTTTAGGGGCACATTCCAATAAGTAATCAACACACAAACAGGTAATCAGCAAGGATAGCAAACATGCATCTTCCATCAAGCAGGTGTCCCACGCCTCTAGCTACTTTAATATCAATATTATAGGTACTTCTGGCTAAATAACATCCCTTCTGGTTTGGAAAAACTACCTTATAAATACCAAACTTATAAACACTTCCATTGTAATAATACACTTCTGGTTTGGTAAATCACAAATCACATGGCCAATACAGTACAACTCTTAAACCATGCTTCATATTTTGACACTTAGTGACCTTCACCTTACAGAGTCACTCAGGGGGCACGGGTGGCCTAGTCGTCTAAGGCGCCACAATTCGCTGTGCAGAGTTGCGACCCTTGGGCACGCCAGAAACCTATGATTGTGGGTTCGAATCCCAGTTCACCCTGATTATGTTTCTAGGTTTGTCAGCACCATACCCATGCTCATGGGTTTCACCGAAGTGGTAAACATCTGAGACCTGCATCACTTCGGGCTTTCCTCCCACAATAAGCTGACACACCGTGATATAACTGGAATACTGTTAAAAGCGGCCTTAAACCCAACACACTCACTACACAGTCACTCAAATGTTCATACGATCGAGACACTGAGATTAATATAATGTATACTAAGTTCATCAAGTTCCATTGATATAAATTTTCAAGTTATCGTGTGCCTTTTTCATACTGAGTGACCTTGACTTTCATGGTCATCCAATAAAATGTCGGAAATTGCCCAGGGGTATATCCTGTATGAAATCTCTGGTATCTATGATGCACGCTTCGTTGAGAAAACTAATTGTGGTGGTTGCAACGGAGCTCCGCAAACATATTAGGCTTATTATCAGATTTCACATGCCAACTTTGGTTGAATTTCTTTTAATCATTTCTGTTACTAGGTTCAATTGCAACTTGACTGTGTTCATATCTGCATCTGGCCACATTCTGCCCTTTTCCTGTTGAAACTACCCAATGCTGCACTACCTCTGCATTTGGAGTTTCTCAGCTGATGCTGCACGTCCCCATCTATATAAATGTAAGGCACACATTTTTATTTTTTGTTTCATGTGCCAGCTGCCCCTACTGAAAAGCATCTGGACAAGAAATAAATGAAACATAAAAATAATCATTGTTATTGTCTCCCGCTAGTGATATATACACAAATTATAAATGATAAATGTTATACATAAATTCTACATCTATATCAGTGATTCAAGAAGCCAGCTGCAGTTTAACTTTACAGCAGAATGGAGTTCATATGAATAAATAAATGACTGACATAGCTATTTATTGTTATAATTATTTAAACTGACCTTTTGTGGAAAAACTGGAATAAATCCATGAAACATAAAATTAAAAAAGTGTGGCCTAACAGACGCAAGATTACCAATGCAGTATACAGCACTAATCACTTACTCACTCCTAATATTTACATAACATGGGCTAACAATCTGATATATATAGGATAAAAAAATCTGGCAATAGAATATTCAACAAAAAAGTCAATGAGGCAGTGAAATAAAAGCTGCAAGTTAGCATGACAGTGTGTGTTATTAAGTCAATACGGAAAATACACATCCTGGAAAGGATGGGCTGGTCTGTGTGTAGACGTCAACAGGATCTCAGTGATTATATACTGTGCTGTTATCTGCTAACATTCAGGACAAACACCGAAACATTAGAATAGAGAAAAAGAGAATAGCAAATTATCTATGAGTGAGTGAGTATTGTTTTACACCACTTTTAGCAATGTACCAGCAATATCATGGCAGGGGATACCAGAAATGGGCTTCACACATTGTACCCATGTGGGGAATCTAACCCAGGTCTTTGGCATGACGAGGCAGAGCTTTAACCACCAGGGTACCCCACAGCTCCTATGAGTGAGTGAGTGAGTTGGGTTTAATGCCACTTTGAACAATTATCTCATGTTGAGTCAACTGTAGGAGGAAAGTCAATACGGAGAATACACATCCTGGAAAGGATGGGCTGGTCTGTGTGTAGACGTCAACAGGACCTCAGTGATTATATACTGTGCTGTTATCTGCTAACATTCAGGACAAACACCGAAACATTAGAATAGAGAAAAAGAGAATAACAAATTATCTATGAGTGAGTTAATGGTTTTACGCCACTTTTAGCAGTGTTCCAGCAATATCATGGTAGGGGATACCGGAAATGGGCTTCACACATTGTACCCATGTGGGGAATCTAACCCAGGTCTTTGGCGTGACGAGCCAGAGCTTTAACTACCAGGGTACCCCACAGCTCCTATGAGTGAGTGAGTGAGTGAGTTGGGTTTAATGCCACTTTGAACAATTATCTCATGTTGAGTCAACTGTTGGAGGAAAGCCCAATGTGATGACAGTGTTCCACATTGATAATCATCAAGGAAGTCTGAATTATCTGTCCATGAACAAATGGAGTATCTTGTTTGAAACATGGAAATATATTAAGTGCCACATCATCAGGACGACGTAACCATCAGTCAGCTCACATAGTCTAGCCACTTCATCCTCATTTTGACCGCCTCCGTGGTCTAGTGGTAGAGCGTCCGCCCGGAGAGCCGAAGGTCCGGGGTTCGATCCCCGGCCGCGTCATACCAAACGACGTTAAAAGATGGTTACCCTGTCTGGCGCTCGGCATTAAGGGGCTAAAACAAGGACTGGTCGGCTCGGAGTCAGTATACTGTGTCTGAGTGGGGTATTCATGTTAAACTGCGGCATGGTATCTCAGTGGGCTAGCACTATAAATCGGCATCAGTCCGGACTAGTACAAGCAGCCACACAAACACACACACGTACATGCACGGCGCTATATAAGTGCAATAATCTTGGACGCGACGTTAAACCCCATTTCACCTCACCTCACCTCATCCTCATTTTAGTCGCCTCATGCTAAAGGCTCATGGAGGACTGATTTGGATTTGTAATACGCATAAATGTCCACATCTATTTAAATTAAGGTTTCACCTAAAATTTAGTCCCAGAAAAAAAATGATCTTATTAAAAAATACATACATGTATCTTCAAAATATAAAGTAAAAATCCAAGAGAAGCCCAGAGCCATGTCTTATTTTATGCAGCTGAAGCAGTCTAGACTTGCCACATCATTCTTGAGACAGATTCATTTCTTAATCTATTCTCTAGGCTCTGGAAGAGAGACTTCGGTGTGAGCTTTAATAATGTTTGTTTGTTGTTAAACACCACACTCAGTAATATTCCAGCTATATGAGGGCGGTTTGTAAATAATCAAGTCTGGACCAGACAATCAAGTGATTAACATCATGAGCATTGATCCACGTAATTGATCGCGATCAATGACATGCATCAACCAAGTCAACGAGTCTGACAACCCGATCCCGTTAGTCGCCTCTTTGACTATAGAGTAATTATGTTAAATGAGTGATTAAAAGTAAATGCAGAATATTAAATGAAATACTGAACCTATATTAACAAATCCATTAAAAACTGATCATTATAATGATGTATCAACACCTGTGACATCATCAACAATGGATGACATCATTTGTATTGTCTGATTCACATGTCATTCCTTAAGAGAACAATCAGAACTTATCAGCTGACTCAAACAATCATCAAAATGCACATGTGCAAACATCACATAGTTTCATTTCATCTTATAATCCTTTATCAATGATAAAAGATTTTGTATCATTTAATGATATTCTACATACTACCGACTTACTACCACTGTAAACAATCAAATTTACATATGGGGTAAAGAAAACACTATAATGTCGTCATTTCACCTTATAACACTTCAACAATAATAATGATAATAATAATGATAATAATAAAACATTCCCTATCATGAATATTATTCTACATACTACCACCTTACTACCACTGTACACCATCAAAATGACATATGGGGTAAAAAACACTATCAAGTCGTCATTTCACCTTATAACACTTCAACAATCATAATAATAATAATAATAATAATAATTTTTTAATTTTTATTTTATTTTTTAATAATAATTATAATAATAATAATAATACATTCCCTATCATGAATATTATTCTACATACTACCACCGTATACAATGACAATGACATATATGGGGTGGTTAAGCAACTCTATAAAGTTGTCATTTCACCCAAAGATGACAACCCAAAAATAATAACAACAAAAACCATAATAATACATTTCTTATCATTAATATTATTGTAAATACTGCCACCTTACTGCCACTGTATACAATCACAATGACAGATAAGGAAAAGCAGACAGTTCCTCTCAGAGGACAAATTATGTCATACAAGTATTTGTTATGAAAGGGTTACCTAATTTTCGTCTTTTCTCAGGTTTCCAATGTAATTGGAAGCAGATCCTCCTCTTCAATTGTAAATGAGGCATGTTGAGATGTCTGATTCTACTGCTCAGTATCCCAGTAAACACCAGTGGAACAGGCTACACCATGTGATCAGCACGTAGGTACTCCGGGCTCACTGCTTGTTGGCTGCACACACAGCACTTCACACACAGACACTGCTGCACCGACTACCACTCCAAGCCGTAGGTACAAACCTGTCCTTCTGCTGACACTGGGAATCTCTCCATACCCACAATCCTCAAGTCCTGGAGTTAACCAACCGACTGACTGACGACCCCCAGACTCCACACAATGCACTTGTCAGTGTGAATACTGACATAACAGTACATGTGTCTCAATGGTAGCCCTACACTGAAGGAGCTGTACGTGTGTGCCGTCTGCTCGTCGGAGCAGACTACCACTTCTCAGCTCTACACCGTTATGGCTAAAGCTGGATTAGTTAATGTGACACAGTGGCAGGAGTGAGGAGTGATCAGTGTGTCCATCCATTATACATGCATGCCATCAATTCTCATCTCCATCACTCCAATTTGGAAGACACGAATCATTTTGCCTTTCTAACTAACAAATCTTTTTCAAAATTATCACTACCTATCCAGTATAGATAAGCACAGACACTGATCTGCTTCACTTTGAGGTACATAATGGATTCATATCTTCAGTCCTATGCAACTGTGTATTTTCTTAAGGGGAAAACACAGACCTGTGTTCTCCTCATGGAAGCCTAGTACTGATAATACCTACTGTAGGTAGACCATACTGAGGCTAAGTCTCATAGCTAGTGATCCTAGAGCTTGTCAACACCCACAAGGATTCAACACAAGATGCCTGCCTGTCTCACTGGTGCTCTGCTGATTCCCCTTCGTAGGCCTAATTGTCAATAGCTTCCCCTCCTTGCATTGATGGAATATTCAGATGCCTTTTCTAAAAATATTCCCTCCATGCAGTAATCTTTGCCAGTTAGACAGCAAGGTAAAAACTATATATACCACTGATAAACAGGGAAAGATGATACATTCATGAGCAAATATATATAAGTTTATGTTTTGACTTATGCAAAGGAGGGCACTGATACAAAATGCAGGAAGGCAGAAATGCAGGTAGGTAGGTAGGTAGGTGGGCAGGTAGGTGGGTGGGTGGGTAGTAGGTATGTAGGTAGGTGGGCAGGTAGGTAGGCGGGTAGGTAGGTGGGCAGGTAGGTGGGCAGGTAGGCAGGTGGGCATGTAGGTAGGTAGGTGGGTAGGTGGGTGGGTGGGTATGTGGGTTGGTGGGTAGTTAGGTAGGTAGGTAGGTAGGTAGGTAGGTAGGGAGGTGGGTAGGTAGGTAGGTAGGTAGGTAGGTAGGTAGGTAGGTAGGTAGGTAGGTAGGTAGGTGAGTGGGTAGGTGGGCAGGTAGGTGGGTGGGTGGGTAGTAGGTATGTAGGTAGACAGGTAGGTGAGTGGGTAGGTGAGCAGGTAGGTAGGCAGGCAGGTAGGTGAGTGGGTAGGTGGGCAGGAAGGTAGGTGAGCAGGTAGGTAGGTGAGTGGGTAGGTGGGCAGGCAGGTAGGTTGGCAGGTAGGTAGGCAGGTAGGTAGGCAGGCAGGTAGTTTGGCAGGTAGGTGGGTAGGTAGGTAGGTAGGTGGGCAGGTGGGCAAGCAGGTAGGTGGGCAGGTAGGTAGGCAGGCAGGTAGGTTGGTAGGTAGGCAGGCAGGTAGGTAGGTGGGTAGGTAGGTGGGTAGGTAGGCAGGCAGGTAGGTGGGCAGGTAGGTGGGTAGGTAGGTGGGTAGGTAGGTGAGTAGGTAGGTGGGCAGGTAGGTGGGCAGGTAGGTGGGTGGGTAGGTGGGCAGGTAGGTGGGCAGGTAGGTGGGTGGGTAGGTGGGTAGGTAGGTAGGTAGGTAGGTAGGTAGGTAGGTAGGGAGGTAGGGAGGTAGGCAGGTGGGTGGGTATGTAGGTAGGGGGTGGGTATGTAGTAGGTAGGTAGGTAGATAGGTAGGTGAGTGGGTAGGTGGGCAGGCAGGTAGGTGGGCAGGTTGGCAGGTAGGTAGGTGGGCAGGCAGGTAGGTGGGTAGGTAGGTAGGCAGGCAGGGAGGTGGGTAGGTAGGTGGGCAGGTAGGTGGGCAGGTAAGTGGGCAGGTAGGTTGGCAGGTAGGTAGGCAGGTAGGTAGGCAGGCAGGTAGTTTGGCAGGTAGGTGGGTAGGTGGGCAGGCAGTTAGGTTGATAGGTAGGTGAGTGGGTAGGTGGGCAGGTAGGTGGGCAGGTAGGTAGGTGGGTAGGTAGGTGAGTGGGTAGGTGAGTGGGTAGGTGGGCAGGCAGGTAGGTGGGTAGGTAGGTGAGTGGGTAGGTGGGCAGGTAGGTAGGTGGGCAGGTAGGTGAGTGGGTAGGTGAGTGGGTAGGTGGGCAGGTAGGTAGGTGGGTAGGTAGGTGAGTGGGTAGGTGGGCAGGTAGGTAAGTGGGCAGGGAGGTGAGTGGGTAGGTGAGTGGGCAGGTAGGTTGGCAGGTAGGTGGGCAGGCAGGTAGGTGGGTAGGTAGGTGAGTGGGTAGGTGGGCAGGTAGGTGGGCAGGCAGGTAGGTGGGTAGGTAGGTGAGTGGGTAGGTGGGCAGGTAGGTAGGCAGGCAGGTAGGTAGTTTGGCAGGTAGGTGGGTAGGTAGGTGGGCGGGTAGGTAGGTGAGTGGGTAGGTGGGCAGGCAGGTAGGTGGGTAGGTAGGTGAGTGGGTAGGTGGGCAGGTAGGTGGGCAGGTAGGTAGGTGGGCAGGTAGGTGAGTGGGTAGGTGAGTGGGTAGGTGGGCAGGCAGGTAGGTGGGTAGGTAGGTGAGTGGGTAGGTGGGCAGGTAGGTAGGTGGGCAGGTAGGTGAGTGGGTAGGTGAGTGGGTAGGTAGGTGAGTGGGTAGGTGAGTGGGTAGGTGGGCAGGCAGGTAGGTGGGTAGGTAGGTGAGTGGGTAGGTGGGCAGGTAGGTGAGTGGGTAGGTGAGTGGATAGGTGGGCAGGCAGGTAGGTAGGTGAGTGGGTAGGTGGGCAGGTAGGTAGGTGGGCAGGTAGGTGAGTGGGCAGGTAGGTGGGCAGGTAGGGGGGCAGGCAGGTAGGTAGGTAGGTAGGTGAGTGGGTAGGCTGGCAGGTAGGTGGGCAGGCAGGTAGGTGGGTAGGTAGGTGAGTGGGTAGGTGGGCAGGTAGGTGGGCAGGTAGGTAGGTGGGCAGGTAGGTGAGTGGGTAGGTGAGTGGATAGGTGGGCAGGCAGGTAGGTGGGTAGGTAGGTGAGTGGGTAGGTGGGCAGGTAGGTGGGCAGGTAGGTAGGTGGGCAGGTAGGTGAGTGGGTAGGTGGGCAGGCAGGTAGGTGGGTAGGTAGGTGAGTGGGTAGGTGGGCAGGTAGGTAGGTGGGCAGGTAGGTGAGTGGGTAGGTGAGTGGGTAGGTGGGCAGGCAGGTAGGTAGGTAGGTAGGTAGGTAGGTAGGTAGGTAGGTAGGTAGGTAGGTAGGTAGGTAGGTGGGTAGGTAGGTAGGTGAGTGGGTAGGTGGGCAGGTAGGTAGGTGGGCAGGTAGGTGAGTGGGTAGGTGGGCAGGTAGGTGGTAGGTAGGAGGGTTTGGAGGGTGGCAGTGTTTTCTATAACTTACAGGCCCCTTAAATTGCCTTCACTTTTGTAATTCAAGGTAAAACACTTGGAACCTGGAATGAATCAATGATCATTGGACAGTGGTCATGATTGATGAATGAAATGAAAGATGCCCTTCACTGCACTTGATGTGCTGTAGGTACAATGAATATTATAGTGCATCCCCAGGGACCCAGTATATTCTTTTTCTGCATCCGTTCTCACCATTTGTGCACACCGGCTGCACATTTGTACATTGCATATGACCTTAGGGTGGGTAGGTGGGTAGGTAGGCAGGGTGGCAGGTAGGTATATTTTTCATCTTTGCAATTCCACAGTAAAAGAAAATTATGTTTTTTATTATAAAGTACACTATATAAATTTTCCATTTTTTACCTTTTCACTCCTTTCACAGTAAAACTACAGTACTAAGTGTTTTTGTTTGTTTTTTAATGCAGCACTCAGCAATATTCCAGCTATATGACGGCGGTCTGTAAATAATCCAGTCTGAGCCAGACAATCCAGCGATTAATATCATGAGCATCGATCCACGCAATTGGGATCGATGACATGCATCAACCAAGTCAGCGAGCCTGACCACCCGATCCCGTTAGTCGCCTTGTACGACAAGCATAGTCGCCTTTTACGGCAAGCATGGGTTGCTGAAGATCTACTCTAACCTAGATCTACTGTAGATCCCATCACAATTTTTTCTATTAAAAAATATGAACCATCTTCTTCTCCAGCATTGAATTCTCTTCCAATAATTGGATCTGTCAAAAGTGCATACACAATATCACCAAAGGAGGTTGCGCCAAGCAATGACGTGAGGTGTTTTTTGTAGCAACATATATCTATACCCTGCTGTCAACTTAATGTGCTTATGGTGCAGATAGACCCTACGCTGGAGATCTGTCATCAATTTGTTTAAAGGGAAAGTACCTCGACAGTTCTGTGTGTATTTAAATCATGCATGAATGAATTTCCCAGTGTGACATCACATGCCCGATTCAATAGAGCTCAGCACAATGAAGCCATCAAGGCAAGCGCTGCACAGAGTAAACTGGCTTCGGTCTTATTTGTTTTAATGGAGGCAAATTGGAGAGAAAGTTTGTGTGTTTACCTTATGGATGAAGTACTAAATACTAATTGCCAGCTTGGTTTGATTAGAAGCCAGAGTTTATCAAAGCCTAGATTACAAAACTATGCCTTGGTCATATGAAGCCAATCACTCTCCTACCCAGGGTTCCTTGCAACCAGCCTAGCTAGAACCTCTGTCACATCGTCACATCCTGCACTGTCCATTCACGTGTTTTTCATCTGTTTCATTTTGAATTAGACTACACATTTAGATAAGCATACGTCATGAAATGTTTAACTTTCATTGAAAAAATATCCAAAAACGTGAAAAACTATTTCCATTTATATAAACTCGGGGGCTATCAGCCATTGTTTACAAACAAAGCTTGTCCATTTAAAGGAAACAAATAACAACGATCTATTGTCAAAAATGAAGAATGTAGAACGTAAGTGGGAGATCTATTGTCAATCTGTCAACAATGTTGAACATAGATGGGAGATCTATTGTCAACAATGTAGAATACAGATGGGAGATCTACTGTCAACAATGTTGAACATAGATGGGAGATCTATTGTCAACAATGTGGAACGTAGATGGGAGATCTATTGTCAACAATGTGGAACGTAGATGGGAGATCTATTGTCAACAATGTGGAACGTAGATGGGAGATCTATTGTCAACCATGTAGAACATAGATGGAAGATCTATTGTCAACAATGTAGAACATAGATGGGAGATCTATCGTCAACAATGTAGAACAAAGATGGGAGATCTATTCTCAACAATGTTGAACATAGATTGGCTTTCCATTGTCTATTGTAGATATTACTTGAAAGGTCAGTATCTTCCTTGCAGGGTTATAAGTAATGATCAGTAAATATTTTTATTTTGCATGTTGTCTAAATGATAATTTAACATTATGGGGGCCTAACACATTGTACCAGTGGGGTCTTCGTTGTGACAGAAGAACACTTTAACCACTAGACTACCCTGGCATATAATAAGCTAAAATAAGTACTATAGTATCACTAGTTAAAAAAGGAAAAATATCATTTTAGTTTCCTGATAAAGTCAACTAAATATGTATAATAGTAGTGTATCAAGTTGCTGATTATTTCTTTACAGTGTTAACATGAACAATACATGTATACCATGTTATTTTTTCCTTCCTTGATGCTGTTACAGTAAACCTCATCATGCAATTAAAGTAGGTATGTCATGGTTGATGTACTTACACCATTCTAGGTCTTAAATCTCCTGGCATTTTGTCCCCAGGATTATATTATCCCATACAACTCTTGTCAGGTCCACATTAAACAACGTCCATTGTGAATGAAGAATCACATAATGTCAGCGACAAGCAGTAGAGTATTTCGATCGTCCATATGTAGTTTATCCTCAAGGGACGCTGTTAAAGCTTTCATCAGTGTAGGGTTACTTACGCAGGTAATATACCTTCATATTTTCATAAATAACTGATAGAGCGTACTAGAAGACAAA